CATGTGGTCAAACGATTGACGCTTGGTCATGTCATAAACCAACATTGCTCCTACTGCACCTCGGTAGTATGCGCTCGTGACTGCTCTGTACCTGAAGAGGGACTAGAGGGGATGAGTTTAGGAGGGTATGACATTGTAAGTAAAATCAAACTCCCAAGGAAATAAGCACAAACTAAATGTTCAAATGGAAATCAACACCATATTAAAGAAACCAAAAAACAAGAGCGTCAAACTTTTATTTCCTTTTCAAGTTCTCATCCGTTTCATTGTGAATGCAGCTTCATCTATCATGAATTTCATAACTTCCACACAATCATAAGGTATGGATATATCCATTTGCAGTTGTCATTTAAGTGATCCCCCTTCATAAGAGATAAGCATAAATATGTTTCATATTAACATCTACATCAAAATACAGTCACACCTGATCATAACAAGAAAGCGATCCTAGAAAAGCAAATAATGAGATCTAACTCAGTGATCATTCCATCCACACATAGTGGGTTAATAGAGTCCCAACAAACAAGTGTGCAACTTGCATTTTTGCACATATAAAGCATAAAATCGAAGACTTGATAAGGGACACGTATGAACCAAAGGTTACTTACAAACCTCTAAATCTATACATAAAAATTTGTATTCGCCCATTTCACTAATACTCTTTAGGGCATAATATCTATCTCAGACTAGGTTTCCCAACATTGCAGCGAGATGAGTTTAACTTACATCCCTACACTGTGCCTAAAGAATCATTATATATCTTTAATTTTTTTTTTTACTCACAAAGTATTCATATTTTTCAGACCAAGGGCTAGACCAAATTTTTACAAATTTTTCGATCATCACTCACCGCCTTGTATATTTTTGGTCAATCGTAATTTTGTTTAAGAAAATTTAAGGTTGCCATTGAACGGAAAATCCGAAAACCTAGAAATGAGCATGCATTATGATTGGTTAAAAATAATCACATTACAATTTTCCCATCAGCATCTAAATTTCAAAAAAAAAAAAACAAAGATCTTGTAGATATAACAAAAATATTGATCATTAAGGCATGCAATGTCGCACCTTTCTTGGCCAGCCGTGTCCCAAATCTGCGCCTTGACGGTTTTCTGATCGAGAACAAGTGTTTTTGTTTGAAATTCGACCCCTATCGTGGCTTTCGAGTCCACACTGAATTCATTTCTAGCAAATCGTGCGAGCAGCTGTGTTTTCCCCACCGCTGAATCTCCAATCAACACCACTTTGAACACATAATCAATCTTCTGGTTATAATCTCCGTATAAATTCGACATTCTAGCCACAACCGGACTCCCAACCGATTGATTCTCAACCCCACAGTTTGGAACATAAAATAATAAAATTACATGAATTGATAATGGTAAATTTTTCAGATCAATCATGTGGGTACATTTTATTGGATCGACTTGGAAATGAAAAACTTGTGCTGGCTGCAGCAGCAGGGGTTGGGGTAGGTTGGGGAAATTAGAGAAAGAGAGGGGGAGAGAATGGGAATTGTGGTAAAATTAGGGTTTGAGAGGAAGAGGAGAGTTTGTTGGAGGGTGGACAATTGTGGTTTTATCATTTGCGGAAGAAAGAGAGGAAGAGAGGAGGAAGAGGCGGGAAACCATCGGCTAGTGCGGGTCCCATTAACGGTTTTTTAAGTTCACTATGAGAAGAGTTTAACACTTGCTGGTACAATAGTTTCGGTACAAGTGGCTGGATCTGGGTCGTTAGTTCGGCAAACTTTTTGTTGTCTACACAGATTCTTCGAGTGTTTTATCGGTAGCGCGCGTGGTGTAAGAGGTTCGGATTAGTAAAATGTACAAAGTTCGATTCTCTTCTATATATTGCAATCGAAAAACATGATTGAGTTGCATAATGTTTCTTCTCATTTGTCAATCTAACTGCAAGTTTTCCTGATCTTCTCTCTTCGTGAGAGTTCTTCTCACTTGTGTGTGAGTGTTTTCTCTTCTTGTCAAACCTTGTTGTAGCCGCCGAGGCTAGCCGTTTCCAGGGTTGGTACCATTCCACCCTAGTTCTTTCTTTTTTCTTTTTTCATTATTTCCGGTTCCATTTTCTTCATTTTCCACCTGATTTCCATCTCGATTGTTGTTGTCTTTCAAACCCAATTGATGTTGATTTCATCTTTCTAAACCCCCACATCAAATCCCCTTTCTCCTCCACTCCTTGCGTCTAGACTTGTAAACGGGTTGGGTTTATCAGGTTTGGATCGGGTTCAATCCGACCCGTTAAGTTAACAGGTCATCCGAACCTAACTTGTTAAGCTAACGGGTCATCCGAACGCAACCTATTAAACTAACGGGTCACCCGTTTCACCCGTTAACAATTATTATTATTTTTTTTTTTTTGCATAGAGTTTATTTTTTGTTGTTAAGATTTTATTAAAATTGTTAAAACATCCTCAACTAACGAATGCTAACGGGTCTAACAGGTTGATCCAAAATGACCCGTTATTTAACAGGTTCACCCGTTAACGACTCGACCGGTTAAACATCTACCCAAATACTACTATTAATGGGTCAGGTCGGGTCGGGTCCAAAATGCCAGATCTACTTGTCCATCCATTTCCATGTTTTTCATCAATCCTTCTCATTTCGATTCTCCCTTTTTCTCAATCATCTTCCTATTTTGCTCCACACTTCATCGTTTCTACACCAAATCCGATCTGCATACACTTTTCTTCACTGCGCTTTGTTGTGGTGCTTTTGGAAAGTGTGTAAAGCTTCGGCTGGGTGTTTGCACCACCACCTTCACTTTGTTTGCCTTTATTGGCTCTGTCACTAATGGGTCACCCATTCCTATTGGCTTGCTTCGTTCTGTGGACGCAACTAAGGGGTGCTCGTTGCAGGACGCCATAATCTCCCTCTTCTTCACTTCTGGGGAGTTGATTTCTAGCAACCGTTGGGGATGTTGGCTAGCGGTGGTTGGGAGGCACTGTTCTAGCGGGGTTGGTGGTAGCAGGAGGATAGGTTCTTTGTTTTGGTGTGTTTCTATTTTTGGGTTTCAAAGTGTGTTTTGGGCCCTGTCTTGTTTGGCTTTGAGGTTCATATATTTTTTATTTGTGATTTTCTTGTAATTGGACCTCTTGTATATTTGCTTTATTGTAATTTGTTGGCTTTTTCCTTGAAATGCTATTTCTAGTTTACTAAATAAATAAATAAACTACGAGTTTTCCTTTCCTCAAAAGACTAACACTATGTATGTTTGGATAAAGGAAATAAACTTGGAATTTTGATAAAAGTCAGAATTATAAATTGATATGCATCAATTCCCTTGTTTAGATTCATAAACATAGAAATTTAGAATTTTCGTGTGAGAAAAAAAACTTGGAATTTGGGACCTCCAATTCCCAAGTTCAAATTCCATGTAAATAGGTATCATTTCTCAATTTCTATTATTGAGAGTTTAAAAATAACAAATTCCATATCCAATTCCATTGTTCTTTTAGGTTAACCAAACAAGAAAATTGACAAATTCTAGAAAATAAAATCTTGTCATTTCAATTTCCGTCATTTTAAAATTCCCTAGTAATCTTAAATTTCTTCATCCAAACATAGTGTAAAGGAAAAACAAAATTTATAAACAATATTTTGCTACTCAAAGTTTTGATAGAGGTCCTCTTCAAAACCCTTTGTACTTGATTATAGAATAATTGGTCATTTAGTCAATCAACTGTAGCAAATAGATTGACGACTTATAATACTTTTACTGATTTTGACATTATGGTTTTATACAGTTAGATGACTAAACTATCTCATATTTTATTATGTTTACTGAGATAATTTTTACATATTAAATTATAATATACACGGTTCCAATCATAAGCTCAAAATATCGTGAATTGAACGCACAATATTTTGAGGAGGACTTTTTTGAAAAAGCTTGGGTGGTCATGTATTTTTCATAATATAATAAGATTCTAAATTTGGGAAATAATAGAAGTCAACATCTTCCAAACATAAATTACATTTCCCTCACAAGGCTTGCGACCCCTCAATCGGGTAAAGTCCATGCTCTACAAATTGCAAGGTTGGCAACCTAGTAGTATGTTCTACTTATGAAGTTACTTATTAAAAATATGATCACTTTTGATGTTTATTGTATTGGATAACTTATCAGATTCAATATCTTAACGTTATAAATGATGGAAAACTTTCTAAATTTACAAGTTATCCTAATAAGATGACATTATTGAGAAAAATAAGTTTTTTTCGTAAATAGTCAACCTTTTACTTTCAATCGAATAAAATTCGAAAACCCGTCCTTCCTTAACATTGGTTGAATATAATGGAGTATACAGCTGTAAGCACCAAACGAGCCGATCGAGAGCAGAATCATTACATTCTTAAGTTCCGGCTACATAGAAACATGACTGTTCCTTTGTCTCTTCCAAATAAGGACAAGCAAACTCTTCAAGTCTGATACAGTCCTTTTCAAAACAGGATAAGGCTCAGTAGAAAAAGACAAAAGAAGTCTGTAACCAAATAAAGAGACATGCACCAGTAATTTAAGTTACGTCAACTTCCAGAATTTTGTAAATTATTTCATTATCCATCTCATCACAATGATCTGAAATTTCCTTAATTACAGAAAATCACATATTTAGTTGTTCCGGATGCAAAAACAACATATTTTTTCATAAGTTCGATAGCTTATTGTGGCAAATCTCATGTTAAATGCAACGTCAGTATATATTTGTAAGAGATTTAACAAGTTTAATATTTAATTATCTATATTTACGTAAGATAAACAATAAAAAGCAACGTAATGAGTTTGAGCGACATAACAAATTTGATATTTACCTGTTTATTGATTTCACATAATGAAATGTCTAACTTAACTAACAAAACAAATACTGATTTCATGTTCCCGTTGTTTCTTCATGTACTCCTCTTTTTGTTTCAATTCCTTAATTCTCGTTTGATCCACGAGCAAGAAAAAGAAGTGAAATGCGTGGAAAAAGGGGGAGTCCGAAATGGCTTGCATAAAATGATATGCAAACAAAAAAATTGAAATCAAAGGATTTCATTCTTAGAACTTGTCCTGTACATTCTTGTTATGTTTATTTCATATATTAATTATGTGATAGCTAGGAACTCAAACTGCTCGTTTAGGTTACAAGACCTGGTCCCCTCCAGGTTTGTGGTGGAAATTCTACCAACCTTCTACATCACACCCCATCAAAAACTACATTATCTAACGGCTCCTTCTACCTGTTTCTTTGGAGTTCTTTTTGGATATAATTTCTAGTTGAACTTCACTGCATAAAAGAGAATATATTGTGTGGCTTCAAACTTTCAACCGACTTCCCCCGTCACTTTCCTGATTCGACACCGGATTCGACACCGGCTTCTGCATGTTTAAACATTTGCAGTTTGCTCTAACATCGCTAAGCGTCTGCAAAATAATAAACTTTTGTGAGTACCAACTGATGATGCTTTGTCCACAATGCAATATTTCTCGATTCAACTTGTTTGGTACCTTGAACTGTTTCTGAAGATCTTTAATATAATCAACTGCCAAATCGAGCATGTCTGCAGTGTTGGTTTGCTGCCAAGAATTTAAAAAAGTTGAATATCATGAGTTTCTGAACACAATTATTGGAGAATTGATTCGAGGCTAAAATGCTCATGTGACATTCTACCTTGTCCATGTTCGGGACGAGTTCTTGTAGTTTCCTCATTCGTTCACTGATCCGTGTTCTTCTCACCTGTAAACAAACTACCGCTTAGCATCATCTATGTTCGAGCAAAAGACTAAAACGGAAAAACCACAATGAAGTTTCATGGTGGATGTACTAATTATATGTATGAGGAACAAATGTGCTGACTAACAACAAATATTAGCTGGCTGGCTACAGATATAGGAAAATATTTACTCTTTCGGCAATGCTTCGAGGATGAGTGGCACAACCTCTCTTTGCTCTAACTTTGCAAGGTACAGAATCTTGAAGTTGCAAGAACTTTTCCATGGCAATGTCTGCTGAAGTTTTTGGTAAACTCAGGTGATGGGATAATACATGAAACCGGTTTTCAAGCTCTCCGTTCTAACCATGAAAGTTTATTCAGAATGAGTTAAATATGCAACAAAAATTTGCGGAAATTCAAACCACATACACCAATTAAGTACCTGATCAACCGAAAATAATTTCCCATCATGATCTTGGTCTCTTCTCATGCCATCTAAACTCTCTGGAAAATTCGATGAGTCATTCCAAGTTCCGAATGGGAATCCTGTAACATAAAATCAAGGATAAGCGCTGAAATCTCCATTAGTACCATGCCTTGTAACTTTTTAGTGGCGACATCATCTGCAATTTACTGAAAGACAATAATATATCTAGCTTTCTAATCCGAATTTATCAGCTGTTAATCCGGATCAATTTTGGGTTTCCTTAGTAAGAAAACACAATATCTAGCTTAATTCACTCCTCCGCAATATATTATATTTCGCGATGCTCTTTCCAACTAAGTATGAAGTTAGAAAATCAAACACCCCATAGGTTCCCATCTAACTTTTCAAATACCAATCAAATCCTACACATCCATAGACGAAAGCAAACATTTTCAGAACATGTTTGTTTGACTGACCAAACTCAAACTTCCACACTCCTCATTACAAATAGCCTATAAATAGTAATTATTTTACAACTATCTAGAGAGAGAGAGAGAGAGGAACTCATTCTCTTTTTGGTAACCAAATTGCAAATGTGCTTCTCAAATCAATGTCTGTCTTATGTCTACTACCAAAAACCAAAATAAAAATCTCCAAAACTAACATACTCGGATATCGAATCTACGATGCAAACAATAGGAATCATACAATGATATGGTAAAAAAATGAATGCATGCAGCTTCAACGGTCAAAGTATTTAGAAACTAAAAAAATGATAATCACCTTCGAATACCCGAGTTTTAATATATCTACTCTACTCGTAGTTTAGATTAGATTACGATATCGCTCAGATTAAAAAAGTCATAAGCTAATGAAAGACAGAAGAAAACACAATACCGTTTTGAAGAGAGGTGTTGGAGAAAAGCCCAGCAGGGGAACTACTTTGTCTAACAAGATTTGAATTCGAATGAACTGACTTGTTGGCCGGAGTGTGATGACGTTCCATTGGACCGGAACCCGCCAACCCATATCCGCCATTAAACGAGCTCTGCCTCGGATAATGAGGGGGCAGCAGCCCAGAATACCCTCCCTGTGAGCTCATCCGGATCGCTGACACTGCCGCCTCCGTTGCCGTCACCACGGATTTGTCGTCAAATTCTTGAAAACTCGACGGCCAGGAATCTGAGTCGTTGATATGGCTGTAATTCGCGAATCTGGAGAACAATCTCTCGGACTCCGAAGAACCCTCAACTGGGCTTTTACTGTGAAGCCCCGAATCGCCGCCGTCGGCGAAATTGGAGAGGAGGGAGTGCGGAGCAGAGCGAAATCTGAGCAACCCAGAATTGTGTTGGTGGGTATTTGAATCCATGAATGGCGGTGCACTGCTTGCTACAGTGGAAATTTGAATTAATGGGGTCAAGGTAGAATTGGATGCTGGAGGACCATTATACATACGCTGCTGCCCTCAGTGCTCACGTAATTTTTCCGGGAAAATTCTGAGAATATTTCTTTCTTTTTTCTTTCACTTTCTCAGAGAAAATTTTTAAGCTTTGTTTTTAAGCAGAGTGGGATAAGATCTTGTGGAAGAAGCAACCGGAGGGAAAAAAGCTAAGCTTGACCAAACCGTAAGCCACTGAGAGAGAGAGTAGCTAGAAGTAGAAGATAAACAGGGACCCCGTAATTAAATGGAACCTTGAGGTCTGTATCGCAATGGAAGTAGAGAGAAAAAGATGCAGACTTGCAGGGATTAGGGTGGGGAGAGGGAGAGAGAGGGAGAGAGAGATTGAGTGCAAGCCTCAAATTAGCTTTTCAAAGCTCTGAAAGCAAGGAAGATCTTGAGCTGAGGAGAGAGAGAGAGAGAGAGAGAGAGAGAGCTTGTGGCTTCGTCTTCTGGTCTGTGATACGAGTTGGGTGCGGCCAATGGAAAAGTACAGAGTGCTATCAATATCTGATCTCTCCACCGAACATTTGCTTTTGTTGCCTCTTTTAGTAGATTTCTACTTTAGTACTTACTATTTGTGGGTTTTCCTCCCTTTTGTTTTTACATATCTTTTAGTTTTCATTTTGAAGAATGCAATGTAATTTATACGTTCATTTTTTATTGATGCACATCCAATCCACAAAGAAAAATATATTAAAGGACAAAAGTAAATTTGATTACGCAGAAGGAGAGAAATAGTGTGCTGGATTAATTTATCTTCAAATAGACATTTACACAAGTTCACAATACTTATTTTTTAGGTTGTGTGTGGTAGCCAAGGACCTTGAATTCTACCTCTCGTTTAGTTTTTGTCTCTGAATTCTCATATTAGTTTCTCTCGTTTTTTAACTTAACTTTGCGTTGCATGAGTAGACCTTCCGTCAAATGTGTCTTATTTTCTATCAAATTTAAGTGTATAGTGGTCTTTTCATGCAAAAAAAATAAAAAATCTAAGTTATTTAAAAAAGAGAAGAGGATGGCTCCTTAAGGTTAAAGATAAGTTCCTCCTCAAAATGCCTCATGGGATTCCCAAAATTTCATATTTATTATCGAATCGTTTATATTATAAATCATTATATAAAAATCATCTTTGCAAAAAAATCAACTAAAACTAAGATATTTAATCAATCCTTAAGGAGTCTGATCATAAGTACAAAGTGTTGTGATCACGAGGTATTTTAAGGAGAAGTTCCTCCTCAATCCTTGAGGAGCCAAATCTCTCTTTAAAAAAATTATTTTCTTGTTTTTGGATGAAATTCCTATTTTATCCCTCAACTTAACGAAAAAGACAGAGTTAATGTAACTGACTACTAGTGCAACAAATGACATATTCAAAGATGAGAGAATCTATTAGTAGATCGTTCAGAGACGAAGACTAAACTCGTGATATAGATCAAAGACCTTTGCTAGAATAGGATGGTGCGTACTTTTGTTATAAGTTGAATTAATTAACCAGCTGTAAAAAATAGCTTAGAGAATATCGTTTCGTTTACTCGTTTGTGTAAAAAGAACTGGTTTGTATTTCTGACCATGTACAGTTTAATTATTTTAAAACTCAATCCATGCTATTACACTTTGTAAGAGAAAAAAAATCATGTGTCACGAGATAGTTAAGTTTTATCATATGCTTAATGACCATAGATTCTTGCATGGGAAATACTAAAACCACAAGTCAATGTGCGTGCTTGGCTGATATGGCAATTAATAAAAATAATCGTAGAATGCTAGCAACCTTCTTATATTGACTTTCTCCTACTCATTTTATATTGTTGAACGATGATTCAAATTATCTATTTTCTAAAAAATCCTTTAAAGACATCTCTATGAAAAATTAACTGAATTCAATATCAGTTAGTAATCTAATGGTCATCCAACAAATAAATGAACCATATGTTTCAATTAATCACTAATACTACAACAACGTTAATTAAACTGTTAAATGATTTTTAAATCGGTTGATTCTTCTCATGTGGTTGTTAGTTTGTGAGGTATGGGAGAGATGGCTTTGGCATTTGACATGGATAAAGGGCCAAAACTATGACGTGAACATTAGTCCCGTGAGCACCAGATTCCGCGCTGCATCTGGTTCTTGTCGTCGTATTCAGTTTTGGCTTTGGCTTTGGGTTTTGCCTCTAAAATTGCAGACGCTGCCTTTCCGAAAATACATCCGTTATTTGATAAATGCATGCTCTCTCTTTCTTTTTCTTTCTTGTTTTATATCTTGGTGTTTGCTTAAAATATAATATACTGATTCCAAAGCTTGATGCTCATAGTTTGGAATACTTTCCACATTGTTGATCATAAGATCTTTCACTTATTATAAGTGAAAATAAGTGTCATTAAACTATCGGATTGAGTGATAATCCATTTCTACTTCACTTGGTAAAATCACTCATTAACAGTTAGATGTACTGTAGCATCTAGATATTATATATGACCATTAGTAGAAGTTAAGTACATGAATGTAGTGCAATAAGTTTCTAAAAATAGATAGAGATCTCAAACTCGACCTACATGAACTCAATGACTCATGTGAATGCAAAAATGGTAATTAGTTGTGAGTTCAAAACGATGATACCTAATGTAAAAATATTGATGTACTAATAAAAAACGATGATACCTAATTATGAGTAGACAATTTATGGTCGCTTAGCTTTGTTATAGATGACTTAGCTCGTTGTATAATAGATATATATCTTGTTTCTTGTTAAATAAAGAATTGGAATTCATTCCTCTACGACAACAGAAGCATAAGCCACTCTTAGTATGAATAACATTCTCTCCTATGAAAAGTTTCCCCATGAATATCTGTAGACATGTAAATTTCGTTGCATACAATTGATGCATTACAAAGCTCCACGTGGCATATGATTCATCATAAATGGACAAGTCATCAATCACATGTGGCACAAATCAAGCAAAGGAAGTGTAAAACATTCCCAAAATTCGGCACAAGGAAGAAATCTCCTTAAAATCGGCAAGGGGCCCAAATTGCTCCTAAAACCGGAAAGAAAGCTAAAGCATCTTCACAAAACAAGCAAGAATTGAATATTGCTCACAAAATAGGCAACAAGCCCTATAGATTTTGGCCAAGTAAGGGAAAGTGGCTGAAAACAAGATACAAAACATGCCTAAATTCTCCCATGGACGAATCAAGACACAAATCAAAGCCAAATTCATCCAAAGGCAAGCTTTGGAAATCTATAAATATAAGGTCCAAAGACAAGCATAAGGTCGACAATTTCTACATTCAAGGTCGACAATTTCTACATTCAAGGATGAAATTCTCACAAAGGGAGAACCTCTGCCAAATCTTTGAAGACTAATACGCTGCCAAAGCTCTCTTCAAATAACGCACAACCAAAGTCGAAGCTTTCTTTCAACCAAAGCCAAAGCACTCCCTTGAAGAATCAACAAGCACTTGTGCCGATTCATTCAAGACTTTGTTGCAAGCTCAAAACTTGTAACGACATTCGATTCAAGATCAAGTTGCCAAGACCCTTGAATCAACGAAATTCTACATCAACACTCCCTTTGCCATAGCCCTAAACCTGAGGTGAAGACTATCCACGCATCGTTTCAAGCTCAAAACTTGAAACAATCATTCAATCGTTCATCTGAAATCAAGTCATCATGACCCTTGGATCAACAACCTACCTATTTACATCAAATTTGAAGACTGAATCAAAGGAAAATTGTAAACAAAGATTGAAACCCTTCAAATTCAAATCAATACAAATCTACTTTGTACACGTGTTCTCATTTCATTAGTTACAGAATTTTCGTGTTTACATTATCTTTTGAGAAATGCTAAGGGGGCACCTTCAAAGTGGGACTGTGACAACCTGTCCCGAATGTTTATATTATTTTGTCCTCAAGAGCATGGAAGTTACTAATTTACTCTTGAACGTTACGTGGTGAGGGTGTAATTGAACTAGGTTGGGACCAATCCATTTTCTTCCTTAGCTTTTGGACCAATTAGATTTTAAGTTTTATTTGTTTTTGGTTGGTGACCCAACCTGGACCACACATTTTCACTCTCACATACACATCAGCCGTTGACTCTCTCTCTCTCCTCCCTCCCGGATTTTCTTCCATTTCTGTACAATCGTACGGTCATTTGCTAAATCATTATTTCCTTGCACGGATCGAGGCTGAGAAGTTGATCTTTGTGTTCCTTATGAGTCCAGGAGCTCATCCATACCGTTAGTTCGACGTGGGGACTTCTGAAACTTCAGAACCAAGAAGCTCCCTTGAGGTGCACTGTTCACTTATCGTGATCGTGGACTTTTTGTCGAGTTTTAGGGTGCTAGGGAGCCTTAGAACGTCTTTGCAAAGCCTAGGGAAGAAGTTTGAAGTGTTTTGGACGTCAGGAAGCTCGGGTTGTGAGTTGCAGAGGTGGCCGAATCATCGTGGGTTTTTCCGGCAAGTTTCCGGTGGATTTAGGATCTAAAAGTGGTAAGGTTTTGTTCCTCTCATCCCAAGCTTCATTTTGGTATAAAATTCGTGAATTTTGGTTAAGAATTGAAAAAGATATGACAATTAGAAGTTTTTCCAGAAACCGGCAGTTGCAGAGGTCACCGGCGCCGGACTCCGGCGAGCTGAGGTTGAAGGAAAGGAATATTCTATCAAAGTTGATGGAATATGCTAACGGCATCAGGTATATTTAACGGCATATTCTAGATTTTAACGGAATATTCCCTAACGCCGTTAGGGAATCCGTAAGTGTGCCAGGCATGTGCCTGCGGGTGGGCGGCGTGTCTGGCCGTGCCTTGGCCGGCGCGTGGGACATCGGAATTTTTTTCTAAAAATATGGGGATGTTCGTGGGGTTGCGTAAATCACATTGGTATATTCAAACACCTCAATTGAGCAATGTATGAGAAGTTATTACCTTGTTTTGTTTATGTGCTTAAATTAACGTTTATATAGTTTTTTTGCATATAAGTGAGACCTATCCTGAGGACGAAAGCAGTCAAGCAAGGCTCGGGGGTTACGACCCTTCTACATATCAGTGAGTGGCCTTTTGGTTTTCAGTATATATATATATACTTGGTATTTTTCCCAGAAAACTTAATTCAATGGTTTGATATTTTGAAATGCCATGTCAAATGCTCTCTATGTTAATTGTGCATTAGTATGGTTATATATATATATATATATATATATATATATTGTTGCTCGACACTATGGATGCTCAAGTAAGCTTCAGGTGAGTCTATTGATGGTAGTGATGGTAGTGGATATATTAGTGCTAAGATGTATTTCGAGCTTATTATCCTGCACCCCGGTGTTAGTGCTCCGCCCGAGGACAGGGCCTAGCCTTCGCATGATCGTTCACCTCCCGCACCACACACTCACCTTGGATCCAAAGCAGGTGCCAGCCTGTCGTACAGACCACTTTAGGTGGTTTTGACTCGTAGGTGACTTGCGATACTTCGCACAGCCTTTCACGTGATCGTAGCACTTGAGCGTATTTATTTACACCTAGC